CTTCCCCTTGTGATTGTACATGTTACTGTCAGTGGTTTCGTGGCTTAAAATATCCCAAATCCAGATCCAGGCTCTGCTGGACCTATCCTATGGGCCACCTCAGAATGGCTTTAGAGATGCCACATAAAAATGTAATGGGTGAGAAGTTCTTATGCAGACTGTATCAAACTATATTCTGTTGTCATAAATTTAGTAATAGAACTTTTAGTGATTTACTGATATAAGAATGGGAGCTTAGGAGTTTCTTTTTTGAATGCCATATATGTGAAAAAGAAAAAAAAGAACACATCAATGTAAATTCAGTTAAAAGGCCAAATCAGATGAAGTTTGTACAAAAATGAGCAGGAAGGGAAAATCTCCATGTATTCAAATGTAAGAAAATAATTATGACAGTTTTCACTGTATGCCCTGTACCTGCGAAGGTCCAGCTATATTTCCACTGACTTTTATTTTTATTTTTTATTAATTAAAATACTAAAAAGTGTATAAGGGCATGAGGAAATAGGTCTAAATTTAGACTATGTCAATATGGATTTTATACCTATACTATGGTTGTCATACAATATAATACAACACAGTAAAAACAATATTGTGCCCCAAACCATCTCAAATAAGATCCTCTTCTTATATAATAGTGCTATTTCTCCCCTAAAATGAAATGACAGAGAAAAACACTTGATTTCTTTGAATCAATGAAACTGTCTCATCTACTTGCCCAGCATCACCATAAGCATTTGTGTCTATGTGCGTTCATGTGACGTATTTTTGGAGAAGAGCTGTCAGAAAGCAACATTTGCTGGAGCAAAGACGAGAGGTTTTAGGGATATGAAATCACAGCAGACATTCCAGTTATCCCATTAAGATGAGATGTGACCTTTAAATGGAAGAGTGATACTTTGGAGGCTGACATTTGATTTCCCAGTATGCTCCCAGCATGTTGCAATTTGCTACAAAACAATGAGTAGCATTCATCTGAGGCTAAAAATTTCTTTTGGAAGTGCACAATATGCTGTGAAAACAGCAATTGCATTTTATGACTTGCCAGGCAGTCTTTCAATGTGTTAGAGAAATTATCAGAAAAGGAACGAGTGGGTTTATAAATATTGCATGAGAGAAGATGTATAAACAAACAAAAAATCTATGGTTCCAGACATATTATTCCTTTTATTAAAGCACTATTTATTCATACATTAAAAAATCCCATTGAAATATTGAAGAGTTTGGTTGAAGCCGGGAAAGCTGAAACAATAGCTGTTTCAGTTCTATCTTCAGTGTCCTTCCCCTCATCACTGCACAGCTCAAACATACACTGCCATGAGTGCTGCTCTCCCCATCGACACGGCTCTTGGCATTATTAGAAATCTTTACAAACATTCTGCTGGGCCTTCACTTGGGAAAGGAGCTATTACTTGTAGGGCACGTTGCTTTCTACAAATGATGGATGTACAAGAATCAAAAGGTAGCAGCCGGCTGCCTGCCTCACCAGGCAGTCCTGCTGTGCCATACAGGCATGGCAGCCTTGGGGTGACACCTCCACAAGCTTTTTCTTTGCCACCCTGAGGCACCAGTCCCAGGATGACGTACTCGCCACCCTGCTGGACCTCCTGCCAGGTCAGCTCACAAGGCACAGGAGGATCACAGAGTCATAGAGTCATCTAGGTTGGAAAAGACCTTCAGGATCATCAAGTCCAGCCATTAACCTGAGCTACTGAGTCCCATCACAAAACTATGTCCCTTAGTGTCACATCTCTTAAACACCTCCAGGGATGGGGACAGAACCACTTCCCTGGGAGCCCATTCCAATGCTTGACCACACTCTCCATGAAGAAATTCTTGCCAATGTGCAAGCTAAACCTCTTCTGGCACAACCTGAGACCATTTTCTTGCATCCTATCACTGTTCACCCAAGAAAGGTGAGCAATACCCTCCCCGCAGCAACTGAATAAGGTGAAAAATAATTTTCTCAGTGCTTGTCCTGAACTGAGACTGAAGTTGGACTGAAGTGTTGTTTATTGGCAGCAGCAATGGCTGAAGAAAAGTGGTTTCAAGCATAGTCGAAGTAAGAATGGTAAGGTCTATTTAGCTTTGATCCAAAACATTAATTTTGCCTAAAATAAATAATTGCTTCACATTGCGGGCTGATTAAACATTTTCATTTATTTATTATTATTATTAAAATTATTATTAAAATTCTGAAATAGTTGAGGTTGGCAGGGTCCTCTGGAAGCCATCTGCTTCAACCCCAAATCAAGCAGGGACACCCAGAGCAGGCTGCCCAGGACCATGTCCAGGTGGCTTTTAAAGGTGTCTAAGGAGGTAGACTCCACAGCCTCTCTGGGAAACAATGTTCAGTCACTAACACAGTACAGAAGTTTCCTGCAGCTGAAATCATAGAATCCCAGAACAGTTGAGGTTGGCAGCCATGCTCAAGTAGGGCGACCTAGAGCAGGTTGCCCAGGAACATGGCATGATGTTTTCTTAGCATCTCCAAGGAGGGAGACTCCACAGTCTCTCAGGGCAACCTGTGCCAGCACTCTGAAGCCCTCACAGTAAACAAGTGTTTCCTGATGTTCAGAGGGAATCTCCTATTTATGCCCATTGCTTCTTGTCCTGGCACTAAGCACCACTGAAAGAAACCTGGCTGTGGGCTGTGTTCTCTGTGCCTCCTCTCTTCATTGAATTGAATTTTATTCTTTTTATTTTTATTTTTTTGTTTGGCTTCTTTCATGAACATTTGGGAAAGTCAGGAGGCTGGCAGAATTCAAAAGAGAAATATAATTTTTCATCACTTGTATTTTACATTTTTGTATTTTAGGGTACTAATGGTTATAACATTTTGTTTGGTATAACAATATATACATACATATATATATATATATATATATATACATACATACATACATACATACATACATACATATTTCCTTCCGCCCTCCTCCCCACCCTCAAGTTTATCCACTGGGACCTTGAAAATATAAGAGGTCTATCAGTACTGAGTGAACTAACATGTCACACCTTCTCAAGTCATTAGTACCTCCAGGTTTTTGACAGCCAGGATAATTCTTTAATTATTTTCCATCTGTACATGATTGTTAAATGCTGTTATTCAATTCACAATGTTTCTCAAAATGTTTCTTGACTGTTTTGTTACTGATAATAGATTATTTTCCTAAACAAGCAAAACAGAAGTGAGCTTTGATACCTCTGAAATTATTATGACGGTAATTATATTAGTTCCACTAGTGCCAAATAATATTTATAGTGGTTTTTGTTTGTTTGTTTGCTTGTTTTCTTCCGTGTCCAATCCAGTTATTCATTTTCTTTAATAATTTACAATTTGACTGTCAGTATGGCACCACATTGCTTTATACCTAGCAATAATGGCCCTGCAGACAGGAAACCAGCCAGGGAATCAACAATAGTACCTAAAATCTGAAGTAGGGACTTAAGAGAGAGTCTTGGATGAAAAGAATCAAGCCCTGCCAGGCGAGACTGCCAGGAAGATGAGGCTGAAAGCTGTAGGCAGGGCTTCCCTTCACTACATCCTGTTGCTGGCTCCAAAAGCAATGTGTGCCATGGATGTAAAAACTGGATCAACAGGGCTAAGTTGAAAAAGTACACCTAGTCATCTGTAATATTGTGTAGTCTTTAAAAATAATTTTAGACAAAAGATGGACCATTTATGATGAATCCCCTGTTTTCCCTTTGTATTTTGAGGCTATGGAAGAAGTTGGTGTTATCCTCAAGCCCCTACCTTCCCATTTTTTTTGAAGCTGAAACAGAATTGTTCCATTATTTTCTCAGGAGAAAACGTTTAATGATCTGTTATTAACTTCTTGCCCTTCTCTTCATTATTATTATCTACAGTCTTAACTCTCTGGTATAATAATTAAAAGATGACCACAGACTCAATCTTGAAATGAATCTTTTTAGAGTGAAGCACTTTGAATCATTTACACTAAAAAAAAAAAAAAAAAAAAAAGTTTTAACTCCCAATCTAGACAAACCTACATGACACCAAGAGCTTTTTTTTTTTTTTTTTTTTTTTTTTTTTTTTTTTTTACTGATGGGAAAAACAAACTCTTTGAATTTCCTTTGAATCATTAAATAAAAATGATTGCACATCTTATACAACATCAATGGAGAACTAGTAAGTTGCCTGTGAGAAAGAGGTGATGATTTTTTTTCCAGTAGAGGGCACTGATGAAATGTATCCAAATCACTGCTCACTACCTTGACTTTCTCAATTGGAAGCACAATGATTATTTCACAGTAACGCCTGTTCTCTGAGGATTTATAATCTGAACACATATTAATGCAGTCTGCATGGGCTGTTAATAAACATCCAACTGTTTTTATCTAGATGTAATGTTACAATCCTCTTTTGCAAGGTTTTAACTAAACTCTGTACGCTTGAAACTTGGGTACCCTCCTTGTTATCAGAATGCTAAACTACTTCTTCCTTTTGGTTTTTCAGTCTCAGCCTTAATAAGCACTTTTATTATGGAAGGACACTATGCAGGAAAGCATTAATTTGATGTGCCTGGTCAACACAGGACATTAGTTTCTCTCTGAATAGCAACAAATTTTGCTTGAAATTATTATGGAAAATATCATATTACCTAAAATAAATCAGAATATTAATTTTACTTCTGGAATGACTAAACAAACACATATTAGAGAAACTTCAGCCACTTTCTTTAGGACAAAAGAACAGAGAGAAAGGGAATTGGAGAGTGCTGTTGAAAGTATCCACCCTGTCACTTATCACTAACCTTAATTTTATTTGTTAAAATTGCAACTACCTTGCTCAGCTGCTGCCCTTAGATAGCTCTATCAATGATACATTTTGACATCAAATTTCAAATTCTGGTCAGATTTGACTGAGATTTCAGTTTAATCCCTTGTCATGACTTCCCTGATGAAGCGAGAGATAGTTTTTGCAAGTTGGTTTTAGGCCAAACCTTCTTTCCCTTCTTTCCCCTTTGCCCCACAGAGAACTGAGCCTAATCTTGGACCTGGAGTCTGATGTGATACACCTGCTTAGCCCAGATGGCTACAGGCAGCAGAGTAACAGCTACCAAGACAGATGCTTCACTCACGTTGTGAACTGAAGATTGATCTGGCTAAGCACAAATAAGTCCCTCTTGCTGAGCTAACACAGAAGGTGATCGTTCAAGGTAAGCACAATTTCTCCTCTATCCATTTCCTTTTCCAGGGGATAGGCAACAAGCATAATTAATTAGGAATTTCTTTCCTTGCTTTACAAAAGCAGCCAATGCTGCAGGCATAAACAAACAGCTTCTCTTGAAAAAAACAGCTTCTCTTTTGAAAGATCCTGCTAGTCTGGAAACATTCTCTATAGTTCGTGTGAAGAATGTAACAGGGACCAGCAATGCTGTTCACTTTTAGTTGACACCAGTGTTATACTCTACTGATCTAGTTGTAACTTGATTAGAGTGTTTTGGGTTTCAAATGATATGGACGCAAGGCAATGTATTGTAATGTATCTTCCTCCTACCTTGTTGTTGCCCTTGGAGGTAACCTGAGTTCCCCATGCTCTCCCTCATGGTACTCTTTGCCCCTCAGTGTTTTTCACCTCCATACTTCTTGCTCCTTCCTTGTAGCCTGTTGCCACCACTGGACCTCCCATGCTCCCCTGTCCCAAGCAGCCTTCACTGAGGTCTCCAATGTCCTACTCACACTTGATCTGATCCCTTTTGTAACATTTTCCAGTAAAGCTGCTGTAGTTTCCCCTGCCATTTTCTGTTCATCCTACAACACCCAGCCTACCCTCTGCTTCCCAGCACTCCCAGCCTCCAGCCCCTGGATCTGTCATGGTGTGACAAATTTCCTTGCTCCTCCCTGATCATTGTTGGCTGCTGGTTGATTAGTGACTCTCCAGAGAATACACATACAATCTTTGACCTGCCATCCAGCTGGCTGCCACACAGATGTTATGCCCATTTTTATCAACCCACTGGTCAGAAAACCCTGCAAGCTGGTCGGGAATTACCTGTGCTCTGCCTGACACCCCTGGAAGACCAGAAAACATGTACATGTAACACTTCCCTTAGGGATATCTTTGTAACAATGAGGGATGAAGGGGTTCAGCACAAAAAGGAGCATCTCAAAGTATACCAGAAATAAGGGAAGATAGTACGAACTCTCTGATGATGAGCATACTCACTGTATCCACTTGCAAATATGAACTGATGTCTTAACAACCAATATTTTTATTGCTGGATGGAAAACTTTAACCTGCTAGCTAAACAGGGCAACAGTGAGTATTAAAGTATAGTTATATTAATAGCCATTTACCCACTTTTCTCCATGAGGCAGGCCAACTGTAGTTTTCCCCCATCAGAAGTAACGTTTAGCCACGGCTTACAACTTGAAGTTTTGGTGCATAACAAGGCTTGGTTTAAAGTGAGCTGCTGTGGCAGTGTGCCATCCTTCTTGTCTCTGCTTCTCCTCCAGTGGACTGCCCTGGTGTGAGCCCCTTGCCTTTGCTCTCTTTTGGCCCACAGGTTTTGCTGCCTGCCTCTCTTTCCCTGTTGTTCCCAGTGGCCATGTGCATACTATCCCACACTCTGTTCGGTCTGATGGCCTTTCCTATAGCTTTGCTGCAAGTTCCTATTGGCTCTACTCCTGGAGGAAGAACAGAGAAATAAGACAGTGGTGGTCTTTCAGGCCAAATAAGGCTCTCAAAACATTCATCCCTTGCATCCTGTGAAAGAAAATCTTTCCACTGTCCTGTTTATCAGGTTATAACCCCAGTATCCTGGCTTTGGGAGCTATTGCTTCAGATTAGCAGGGCTACAAATGTTAGGGCCACTCAGCCAGAATTAATAGCCCTAGGGGCTCAATACATTATTACATCTGACATTTTCTCCACAATATGACTCTCTTTTGGGAGGAAAAAGCAATTCCTCAATAAAAAGGTGAAGGAGAGTGAAATAGAGATATGTCTGATCTGATCTCACTGTGTTTAAAAAACCTGCCATTGCTGAAACCTGCAAAGCAGAGTTGGGGATGGAAGGCTGCTAAATTAGGGCTAAAATTTGCTCCCTCTGCAGCAGAGGGAAGGTGAGACAGCTTAATATCTTGGGCAACTGAGACCCAATAAGGTGAGGTAACCCTTGGTCTAAGTCTTCCTATGTGATCTATCTCTGTATTAGGATGTCACTTGTGACCTTACTGTTGCATATTTGCATTAATGCAGTAAAGCAAACCCCAAACAGTAAAAAATCATAAGCATTCACTAAGAACAAAAGGGAGGGAACGGACCTTTTTTTTTTTTTTCTAATGATATCTATTTATTTATTTATTTATTTGAGGCTGTGCTGTTACAGAAAAAAAAATGTTTAAGAGACATAACTGAAATTGCAAAAGGATGAACATTTTGAATTAACTCTGTTGACCAGCCTCATTTTAATGAAACACCAACTTGCATTATTGGTCTTCTCTCTCCAGTCCTAAACGCTCTCTCTGGCACTCAAATGACAGATCAATCACTGCAGCTCCAGGCTAAGAAAACCTTCCTGCAATATTACAGGGCAGGTAGGCTTTTGGCTCAACATTCGTTTCAGCATAGTGATTGCAACTTGCAATTATAAATTTAATCTTGCTGTATGAGACTGTAAGACCCAATTCTGATGTGGAGATCTACATGCCACACATTTGTACTTTCTTATAAAATACCTGAAATCCTAAGCAATGCAGTGCTTTATTGATATGCAAAGCTGTTCAGGTAAAACATGATTAATTTTATAGGTGGAATAGAATGGCTTATCTTTAAAAAATAACATATTCAACACATTTCCTTCCTTTATGCTCATGGAATACATTTTTGAGCATATTCTAATTTCTTTGTCTTGATTTGTTATTTCATGCATTTCAACCATAGTCTGCAGGCTTAGTCCTGTTTATCTAACTGGTATGTATGTCTAAAAGTGGGAAGCCTAGGTGTGATTTTGCTGCTGGGGATAGGTTAAAAATGACTGGCCAGTGAAGTGAATGGGATTTTCTCTGTTTCTCATGAGATCTATACAAGCACTTCCAGCAGTAGTACTCACAATTGCTGATCTAAATCCTTATTTGCTTGACTGCTTGTGAAATGTATTGCTTTGCACGGCAGCGCTAGGGACATTTGTGGTTTTTAATTTGTGTTATTCTGGCACTGCCTGCTGCTGCTGTGGAGAGCCAGTTTCTAGGGCTTGTGGGCAGCTCCCACTGGAAGGAGACAAGGCTTAGCCCTCTTTGTTGAGAAAGCATAATCACAAAGTCTCACCTGGACAGGGAAGAAAAAGGAAGAGAAATAACTTACTTGTTCCCAATTTCAAACTTCTTTAGAGGCAATACTTCATTAAAGTGTTTTCAGGGCACATTTTCTTTTCTTGTTACTTGTGCATCTTTTCTGAAAGCTTTTCTGCTGCTGATTCTGTTCTCACATGCACACACCTATAGGCTATATAACAGTGCCGAGCTCACACAGCTCAGCTGGTAGACAGCTGTGTGCAGGCTTGTTTTGGACTGCTATCTCTTGCTGCAAGTGAAGTTGGAACTTCTACCTAATCTTGCACGGAGGAGAGGTATCCAGCATTGCTTTCTCACTCTGCAAGGGAATAAAGCAAATGTTTTTGACAAACTAAATGAAAATAGTTATACCCATGACAAAAACAAATTAATTTAGTCTTTGCCAGCTAGCTCAGTCAGTATTCAGCTGGTGGTGTTAATTACTACTGTTACAGAAGATAACTTACATGTTATTAGCGTGATGTTGAATAACAGGATAAAAATGAAAAACAAACAAAAAACCCCCAAACCTATCTCTGTAATGCTGAACCCTGTGTAATGATATCTTCAGTACAAGGAGAGTACAAAAAAGTATGTCAAACATACTGTTCTGATTTGATAGCTTTTGATGCTTTCATCGGTGTCAACCAGTGCAAAATTTGCAGGGTGACAGATTCACTTTTTCAAAAAAATCAATTTAAAAAAGCTTATGGTTTTGATAACAGAATGTTCAGGAAATGTAAAAAATGTTCATCTGCTTTTGAAGCCTATAATCCAGTTCATTCCAATCCAATCCAATCCAATCTAAAATATTCATATTGTGAGGCTATGTTCTGTAGAAGGTACTCTGTGCAGACCAATGTTTCCATATCGATTAAAAACATTAGATTAGGAAACTCAGAAAGTCCAGTTTAGAACATTCTCTGAATGAGTCCGATTTCAGAGAAAATCTATATTTTTAGAGGAGGGAATTACAGAAATAATTGAAAAAGTCAAAAAGTCAAATTAAATTGATTGTTTTTCTTCTGCTTTCATCAGTCAGGATTTAAAAGGAACACTGCAGTATTAAATTAAACATTTCTATAAATTTACTTTTGTGCATATTTATGATCTTGATTTTGGTAATAAAATCTTGGAGATGGTATTAGAATAATACTGAATGCAGCTGCTATATCTTCTAAGTAGCATTGTTTTACAAATTAAAGCTGAAAGGAATTCCATGGACTGACAAGAACAATACAGATGAATTTTCTTTTCTGCAGACAGATCTGCATTTGTTTGTGTAAACTTCACTTGGGCTACTCTGGCATCATGGCAGAGTGCTTTGTCTTAGATTTGAGAAGTTCTATTCAAGAAGAAATATAATCCCATCTATCCCAGCTGCATGGCATTTATCTCCAGTCAAAGAGACTGTACATCCTTCTACTGTTAATGGCCAATAAGAATAATCTGCTCTATATAATAGAGAGGATTGAATTGTAAGCAAAGAAATTGAAGATTTTAGAAGAAAAGCAACTAAATACTAAGTACACATTTCAGCATTCAGTTTTGTCTAAAGTGGTATACCAAGGCAGTTTTCAAGGTTGGCTGATGCAGGTATTCAAGCAAATGAGGGAGGAGAGAATGGAACTCTGGTTTGGCTTGTAGTCCAAAGACCCTAATCTAATGTATTTTCTGTGTAAACTTGGCAAGGCACTTGCTTTCTTTGTGTCTCAGTTACCATTTGAACTACTCCTTAATATCTATTGCGATAAAGATTTGTTAGACAGATGGAAAGACACTGTAAGCTTCTGTCTCACAACAAACCTTATATAGAGATGAAATTATATAATAACCAACAGTATAGTCTATTACAAAAATCAAGTACTTTTCTGAAAGTGAG